ATGTATATCAAGTATGGAAATTGTTATGTCTCATTGATTGTATATCTTTGAATCAAATAATTGATTGATATGGAAAGTGTAACATCTTGGAATATCAAGAGTAGAGTTGAAGAGCTAAAAGTGAAAATGTATGAGGGAAACTCGGCGAGTCCATGGGTGGACTCGGCGAGTGGGGTCGCGACTTTGATCGCGTGTTAAGTGGCCTACTTGGCGAGTCCAAAGATGGACTTGGCGAGTAGGTGCTGAGTGGAGAAACCCCTAAATCCGGAGGATGAGTCCTATTTAAGGGACCTTATACCCTCTCCCCAGCCTCTTTGATCTCCCTTGAAGTCCAGAAACCCTAGAAAGCGTGATTGTGGAGGATTTGAGTGCATTTGGAGCTTGGGGAAGTGATTGTTAAAGAGATCTTGGAGAGTTAGGAGGCTTGGAGCAAGGGGCTTTGCTTAGATTCGGATTCCTTGCTGTTGGGGGCTTCATTTTGAGGTAATATCTCGTTCTTGGGCTGTGTTCTTATAGATTCATCATTTTGGGTTTGTATGGGAAGCTTAAATTGTGGTATCTTGAGTTTAAAGGATAGATCTGAGGTTGCTACCTTAGATCTGGAGTGGAGAATGTCTTATGTGCATTAAAGTCCCTGTTCTTGAGTAATTGGTGAAGCCATCTTGTCCCAAAACCCAAACCCTAGAGTGAAAATGCTTAGATCTTCTTGGATTCACGTAAAGATTGCCACTTTACGTGATGGATGGCCTTAGGAGGAGTAGATCTATGGTTTGGATCATCTGCATGGCTTGGAAAGCCTCTGTATGGATTCAGACCCGGTGGTACTCGGCGAGTCACATGGGTGGACTCGGCGAGTTGCTTGAAGAAATACTGGAACTCGGCGAGTTGGAAGAACAACTCGGCGAGTAGGTTGAAGATAGTCGTAGACTCGGCGAGTCTGGTCGTAGGGTCCAAGTTTCTTTTGGGAAGGCTGTGACTCGGTGAGTCAAGGGATGACTCGGTGAGTTAAGTCGCGAATTGAAGGAGGTTTTGTGCATGGGGACTCGGCGAGTCATCGGGTTGACTCGACGAGTAGAGTCAGTCAGGGGTAGGCTTTGACTTTGACCAAGGGTTGACCAGTTGATTTCCAGGGGTAATTTGGTAATTATTGGATTTATTGGATTCAGTCTTTTGGGTATTGGCAGTGTCGGAGTTCGGGTCGGAGGCTGCAGCAGCGTGATCTTATCCTTTTAGTCAGCAGTTGCGAGGTGAGTTATCCTCAATATATCAACAGGGTCTAAGGCACCAAGGCCGACCCTTTATCGGATTGAGATCCGGGTATCTGTTGTTATGTTATTGCATTGATATGTTTGCATCCGGGTAGTTAGGATGGTATTCGTTAGAGACTTGGTAAAGGTCGGTATCCTGGTAGATAGGATAATGCTTTGCTAGTGACCGGTTAGGTCGGTATCCTGTTAGAGTATGTTGTGTTATGTGATCTACTAGATCGGTTTGACTGAATATGAATTGTTATGTGATTGAATGTTTATGTGCACATGGTTGTTTGGACTGGAGTTGGGTTGAGGTGGGTCCTGCTTCGTGCTGTAGGCCAAGATACCCAGGGCGGACCGGTTGTTCCGAAGGCCCAGCGAGCGGTCCGGATAGGCTGTAGGCCCCACGAGGGCGGACCAGACATGCCGAGGCTAGGAGAGTGGACCAGTCCGACTGAAGGCCCGATGTGGGCGGACCAGTCATACTGTAGACTCAGAGAGTGGACCAGGTGTGTTGAAGGTCCGGTGCGGGCGGACCAACCACACTGCAGACTCGAGGGACATGACTGGACTCTAAGGGTGGACCAGGTGGACTGAAGGCCCGACACGGCAGACCAGTCTCACAGTAGACCCGATATGCATGGCTGTTCTGTGATTCGTTATGATATAGCATGTTATGTGTATGGTATATGTGGTTGGTATTTTGGGGGTATCTCACTAAGCTTTCGGGCTTACAGTTGTGGTTTAATGTTTTTCAGGTTCTTCAGGAGACTGTGGCAAGGCAAAGGCGTGATCGTACCGCTCCTCGTGGTTATGTATTATGAAATGGACCTGGGAATACTCTGATAATAAATGTATTGAAAACCTTTTCGTAATAACTTAATGAATTGGGATGTTTTTGAAAAGTTTAAATTTTATTGAAATTTTGGTCGTTACAGAAAGCTTGTCACATGATTCATATATGCCTTTGTTGTTCCTTGTTCCTCTTTGCTTCCGCTATATTGAAGTATATATATATATATCACATTATGTTATATTGTATCTATTATTGAACTCACTAAGCGTCACCGCTTATCCCTCTCAGTGTTTAACCATTGCAGGTAATAAGAATCTAGTATAGACATATACTGTTAGAAGATTTTAAATAGATAATACTATTACTTTTGTAATTAGTGTTCATGTATGTATAAAACTATAACATCCTGGGTAGTTATGTAATATATAATACTTTGTAATAGTCTAATTAGTCGATTTGTATCCAGTCTTTTGTAATTAAACTATAAATATAAAATATTGTTTATAAATATGCATGTAACATGTTTTGGAGTATTATGATGTAGTTTTAAGTTTTATCGAAGAGGTTATCTCAATCACATGAAAGTGTGGGTCTTTCATTATATATTTTGTTTATATAAATGATTTTGTAAAAAAAATTAAAAGCTTCAAAAAGTGACTGTTGATCGGTTGAATTTGGTCAACCTCGTTTTCATTCGGCGTGCACCATCGTCATAGCCAACATGAACGAACATGACAATGACTCACGACGATACACCGGGACGGTATGCACGATCATGGTTCGTGGCCACGTATACCACAGACATAATTGTTGTTTGTATATCGTATGGCCTTAGGGGTGCTTGGATAAGTAAAAAAGTGGTTGTTTATTGCTTATTGCTTATTCTCACCACAATAAGCTGAGTTGAAGTGTTTGGATAGGAAGCTTAAAAAATCAACTTATCGTGGTAGAAATACGTTAAATAAGCTGCTTTTAGGGGATGTTTGGATAGGGAAAGAGTAGGTTGTTTATTGCTTATTGCTTCATCCCACAACAATAAGTAAATTTAGGTGTTTGGATAGGAGTCTTCAAAAACCAGCTTATTACGATAGGAATAAGCCAAATAAACTGATTTTAATAAGCAAGTGAGGGAATGTTTATTGCTTATTGGTCATTTTACTCATATAAGTTGTTTTTTTTGTCAAACACTTAAAATGCTTATTGCTTATTACCACCACAATAAGTTAATCCAAACACATTTTAAAAAAAATGTTTATTCCCACAACAATAAGCAAATAAACAATAAACTAATAAACTAAAAACTATTTATCCAAACACCCCCTTAATAAGCAATGAAGGAATGTTTATTGTTTATTGCTTATTATGATAAAAATAAGCTAAATAAGATAATACAAATACTTTTTAAAATAATATTTACTCCCACCACAATAAGGTAATAAACAAAAAAGTTATTTATCACCTTAAAAACAAAACCGATACGACTATTTAAAAACAAAGGAAAAGGGGTATGTGTATACGCAAGATTTGATACACGGATGTCCTATACAATGTTTCGATATGATACGTCTTTCACAAGATGCTTTTGTACTATTATGCAATCACTTTACAGAGAGAAATTGGTTGCAATCTAGTAGGACGATAAGCATTGAAGAGAAGATGTCTATGTTTTTACATGTTATAGGACATAATGAATGTTTTCGAGCCGTTAAAGAAAGATTTCATCACTCCACACAAACAATTCATCAATGTTTTCTTGAGGTCTTACGTGCAATGATGTGTTTTGCACGAGAAATTATAGTACCAACCTCGTCTAATGCAACAAGAAATTCATCAGAACGATATAGACGGCTAATGCAGATATTTCTCGGAGCAATAGGTGCACTAGATGGAACACTTGTACATGCAGTTGTGCCTGTTGATCAACAAACTCGTTATAGGGGAAGAGGAAAAGGTGAATGTTATCAAAATGTAATTGGAATTTGTAATTTTGATATGATATTCACCTTTGTATAGGCTGGATGGGAGGGCATAACACATGATTCTAAAGTTTTGAAAGAAGTTGCATTTAACCCGACTTCCGGATTTCCATTCCCTCCGCCAGGTTTGTAACTTTACTATACGTTTTTTTTAATCTTTTTTTTATTTATATGATAAATTTGTCATATATCTACAGATAAATACTACCTTTGTGATGCCGCATACACCAACACCCGTGGATTTATGGCTCCCTACTGCAATACTAGGTATTGGTTAGCGGATTTTCGAAGAAACAGAGCTTTAACTAAGGAAGAAAGGTTCAATCATGCTCATGCACAACTTAGAAATTACATTGAACGTGCTTATGGTGTATTGAAGGCGAGATTTCCAATTTTAAAACAAATGGCTCCTTATCCTTTTCCAGTGCAAAGAGACATAGTCATTGTTTGTGTTGCGGTCCATAATTTTATAAGGAAATACGATATTGAAGATAAATTATTTACGACCTTTGAACAAAACACTATGGTTACTCCTAATGTGGGTGGTGGAGGAAATGAAGGTCAAAACATAGAAGGCATACAATGGGGTTCAGAAGCCGTTGACTATATGACTACTTTGCGTGATCAGATTCCTAATCAGTTACTTTCAAATAGTTCACGTTAAATTGTGTACTTTTTTTTATTATGTATGACAATTTGTATTTGGATTTTGTATTATATTTTGTATTTGGATTTTAATTGATGTATGTTTAATTTGGATTTTATATGATAATTTGTGTTTTTATAAATTTTTATCCAGCATAAGAGACAACACGAGGGTAATATGGTCATTTTTTCATTCAGCACAACCATTCAGATAAATAATCAAACACCACAAATATGGACTCAATCAACATTTCTAACTCAGTCAGCTTTCTAACCCAGCTCTAACACAGTCATAAACTATCGAAGGCTTAGTAAACATAAAATCGACTCTGACCGAACATAAAATAAGACTGTTGGTTTTAGGATGCTGAACTCGTCGTCCAAAACCCTCCTTAAATCCTGTCACCGCACTTGAACATCACCGGCGACCAACTCCGCACAAAAACACGATTCCAGGGCGGACTTCCGTTCAAAAACACACAACAATGTTACTCCGGCTGGTCGGTCGCGTCGGAAGAAGACCAACATCCTTCTTCCCTCAACACTCTTCTTATCGTCACATAACCCTAATTGCACACCCTTTTGCCCGTCGTTCTTCAATCGAAAACAACTATGTAGACTACGTCCCACAACAATCGAGAAGAAACGTATCAGTGATGCGGAAATCAGCTTTCGAAGACCGAATACGTAGACTCATTCGCAACGATATCCAATATGAACTCGATCGATCTCCTCGTACTAAGGTATTCATGTTTCCCTAATTTACTCCTCTTCATTTTCGTGTTTCCTCTTTGGTATCGGAATTCGCATCATTCTTCTCGTTCCAATAAAAAAAAATCATATCATACACAAACCCTAATTAAGGTCCTTCCTCCCGTCGAACATATATCTCGATTCTGCCCTCAACGATTGAGAATCGTTATATTAGAGGAAATGAACAACACACATCAGGAATATAGCGACTTTGGTAGTGCTATTGAATCGGAAAGAATGTAGGAGTAGTAATTATTTATGATTGTTTTTTTTTTTTCCTGAAAGCATCTTACATCATGTGATCTGTTTTGAACTATAACTGTAGATCCTGGTTTACAGACTTATTAGTGCATATTTTGTACAGCTTATTCCAAATTTCAAATCTTTTGCGGTTGATGAGAGGCCAGGAGAGCAGTGGATCAGATTGAACAAGCAATTTGGAGAAGATGAAGAGATTAAAGTAGAGGTAACCATGTTCCGAGTTTCTACTCCTGCTGAAAAAGAAGGCAGTGTTACAACAGAGAACGATCTCGAGCTTTACATTTCAATGGTGATTGACATCTTTAAGGATGAAGAAAATGGTATTTTGGAGTTTGTGTGCAATGTATGGCCTGACAGCATTGAGATCGAGAAAGTTTTTATGCGTGACCAAGATGGAATGACTGGTAAACCCTACTTGGGTCCTCCCTTCAAGTAAGTTCCAAATCTTTTGTTATTTTGCTTTCAGTTCTGGGATGCTTTATTTACACTGTTTTTTATGTACTATATATACTGGTGAACAAACTGGGGTTCAATTTGATGATTTGTAAACTGGTAACTTTCAGTGATTTGGATGATGAACTGCAAACTTCACTGTATGATTTCCTGGAGATAAGGGGAATAAATGATGAACTAGCTCTCTTCTTGCATAAATGTATGCAACACAAAAGTAAGAATGAGTATATTCGATGGATGGAAAGCGTGGAGTCTTTTGTAGCACGGAATAAGTAAGGTCAAAATCACATTTTGGGGGGTGCTATTTGAATACTTGCCTTAACACTTAACAGTAAGTGAAAAGATTTATGAGAATCCATAAGTGAGGTCACCTTTCTTGCTCTAAGAGCCTAAATACATTATTTATGATTTATCTGTTTCATGTTGGCTGTGGAACAATTTATTGGTGGAGGCTCTGTGGGATGGGTGACATTTACCTTTTCAAAAAAAAAAATGTTTACAAAAAAAATACTCTTACCTTTTTTTTTCTTAGACAGACTCATTTTCCTTATGGCTATTAGAAAGCTAGACCTATATTCTTGGGAAATTTAGGAATTTAAGTATTACATTGGATATGCAATATAGGTGAGAAACTACTGGGTTTATGTGATAAAGTCACAAGCTAGAGTTATAGTGATTATTTTTTTTTGGGAGACATCTGTATATAATCAACACTAATTAAAACACCGTTAACCTTGCTCCTTTCCATAATTCCATTGTATATATAAAAAAAAGATTAGCGACTAAATTCGCACAAAGAAACCTACAATAGCAGTTAGCAGGTCAATGTTATTTTGTGAACAATGTAAAAAAGTTCAATGGTAAGACGTGTAAAGAAAAAAAATTAGAGTTTGTTACTCTTACAAGTCATTAACCCTATTTCAAATTGTATATTATCATTTTTAAACTTGAAATATAATTTATCAACTTATTGTATTGAAGCGTACCACTTTATTTTCTACTTTATAGACAACTCAAAACTCAAAAAATAGGTTTTGAACCTCGGACAAGAGATATCGATGAAGGTACCATGGACTGAATAAAATCCATCGAGAGAGGAAAGTTTTAAGATGTTTTATTAGAAAAAAAAAAACATGTCGTCTGATTAGCAAGTGTGTTTTCACAAATTAAGTGATTAGTTTAATCTAGGATAGAAGTTAGAAATAGAGAAAATAACCAAACTTGCCAATATCTTTAATTTGATGTTAGTTTTTAGCCAAAAATTAGTACTTATCCAAACTAGCCATAAAAGCTGTAGTCGACTACTATTTGTAGTTATTATTTTTTTTTATTATTACTTGTTTGGATGGTTATTAATTATTATATGCTGTATGTATATATGCATGTTATGTCTTTCTAACGTTAGTGTGTGGTTGATTCATCTTTGACTTTCTCATCATCAAATATTGGGTTATAAACAATGATGTTAGCCTTTTCAATGAATTGTTAAATTCAACCATACACTAAAAGTAGAAAGAAATAATATGCATATAATCATATACACATACCACTAATTTCAATGAATTGATATAAAAGTATTGTATTGAAAATATAGTATATTGATAACTATCCAAACAAATAATTAAAAAAAAAAAAAAAAGCTACAGATGGTAGTCAAATACCTAAAAAAGAAAAACGAAAAAAGTGCTTTGTTTTGCAAAAATGATATTTTGGTTTACGGTTTGGGAAACAATAGCTTTAGCTGAAACAATAGTCTATTTTTGGTTTACGGTTTAGGAAATAGTAGAACATCGAGAGGAAATGGTAGACCATAAAATGGTCTACCGTTTTGTTTTGCAAAAATGATTTTTTTTTCATTGTATACATATGCGAGAGAGTAGACCATTTCATTGGTCTACGGTTTTGATGGCTAGTTTGAGATAAATACTAATTTTTTTACTAAAAATTAATATCTAATTAAAGATTTTGGCTAGTTTTTTTTCTTAAAAATATATTTAATTTGTAATATATGGTTTTATTTGTGATTTTTTTCGTGAAAATGGTTCCACGGCCCACGTTAAATTGTGGTTAAAGATTCTTTATATTTTATAAAGATAAGACGGTATTGGGCTTTTTTTTTTTTTTTTTTTTTTTTTTTTTTTTTTGTTTTTTGTTTTTTGTTTTTTATAATTCGAAGATACATTTTATTTTTGCAATGGTTTTTTAAGAGATTTTAGCTTTTAAAAAAATTATTAAATACAGAAAAAAGTTTGTTTACTATTACAAGCTTAAAGTTTCTATTTAAAACAACAAAAAAAAATCATAATAGGTGTAAGACCCATATATTTTACGGGTTGATTAAAAAATTAAATATTAAAATTTAAATAATAAGTATTTTTTAAAATAAATTTTTGAAGTACGGAATAAAAAAAAAATTAATTACAATTTACTATCATATTTATTATATTTAATATTTTATTTATATAAGTAAAAGTATTATGTGATTTTTTAATTTTAAAAATTGAAAAATCCCATAAATTGACATGTAGATATTATTTAATTAAAAAAATATCAGACAAGTATTAAAATTGATAAGAGATTGACAAGTGACAAAATTATTTTTATTTATTAGGGATGATACATATATATATATATATATATATATATATATATATATATATATATATATATATATATATATTTAAATTTACAAAACTATTTTTGCAAAACAATTTTAATCAAATAAAAATGATAACTTACAACTTCAAGTAACAATTACAACTTCTAGCTTCTTGTTAAGTAGCTATCCACAATTTTTTGACAAATATTACCCATAAACTAGTTTGAAATATTGGTTTTGTTACGACTTATTGGTCAAGCGTGCTTCTATATGAGGACTGGTCCTAGTCGATTAGAGTTGGGTGTTTTGGGCATCTTTGACGACTTATGTATTTTGAAAACTTATATGTATAGTTATAATTGTAATGTATAATATATTTCAACCTACCTCTTGAGCCTTTTTTTCATCCTTGATGAAACTTGTAACTCATTTGTAACCCATGCATTTCAAACTGTACCTTCAATTCGTTTTGTCCTTCATTACTCTTATGCAATTTCAACGTGAAAACGTCACCAAAACTGTTGACGTTTTTGGGTAGTGAGCTAGTAATGCTGATCTTGGCTTTTATTTTTGATGCACTAAATATATATCTGTATATCTATTTTTAGTGCTGCTATTACTGGATATTGATTACACCCACGTCACATACGGATAAATCTTTGATAACTGTTAACGTCATAATAATTTCATGCGTCTGGGAGTCTTCCACTGCTCATCTTTTTATTTTAAATAATAACAGTTTAACACTTTTAACATGTTTTAAAATTTAAAAGATATGGAATAAATATTTAAATTCTGGTAACTCAGTATCATCTTAATATCAATAATTCATAATAATGATAATAATAATACAATGATAAAAATATTAATTGTTTACATGGAGCAAAAACATAAAGAACACCTTTTCTCTTTCTTACCAACAAAAGAAGCATCTTTATATTTTAGGCCATTTTCTAAAAATATAAGGTTTCCTTTTCTTAATAAGTTCTTTATGAGAGAGTGTATATTTATGAATAATCACTATTAATTGAAATTAATAATTTTAACATGGGTTTTATTTTTTTTATTCTATATGTTGATCATGTGATTAATAATTAGAGATATTTAACAACCTTATATGACAAGACAAAAGTTGGATTATTTCAACAAAAGAAACAAAAGTTGTTGTTCTCCTAAAAGATTGTTAGTACAGGTAAAATATATAATTTAGTAATTTACTATATTTACGGTAATCATTAAATATTAAATACATTTAGGATGGTTACCTAATTTTTGCTATTCGGTAACTTGCATCCAACCAATTTCCCTACATACTATTTATAAAATTATAAATAAAAATATATGATACTTATCGTTAAACAACTTTTTAATTAAGGGTTAAATGCTGAAAATAGCAATTTATTTTCATGTATTTGGATATTATAGCATCTTACTTTCATTTTATTGTATTGCAATATTGTAATTTCAAAACCTTTCATATTAAGGCTTTGTATTCTGAAATTTCTTTATCCAGTTGTAGCATTATATTTTAATTTTATTTAGTTATGATATTATAATTTAAATATCTATCTAATTACATCAACAATCATTTTTTGTTTGGACGATATTACTATAATATGATAGATTTTTAAATTATAACGGTGTCATGAAAAGAAATCAATATAGTTATTTAATACTCAAACCTTTAATTAATAAATGCATCATGAATGGTTTTCAAAGAAAAAGTATATATATTAAACGATAATATGAATGTCGAAGGAATAGAACGACTCGAGGACTGTTTTTAATGATTGAATATATATGTATTTACTTGGTGAAAATACTCCACACAAGAATGTTTCATCTGTATTGGGAGCTATTTTACATGGTTTTATTTCCTATGATCTAATTTGCGCATGAATTAAAACTTAATAATCACAAAAAAAAATAAAAAGGTAATTCAATACAGCACTTCTTCTTCTTCTTCTCGTTTGACTTCCAAACAATACTCATTTCTCCTACATGCCTCTTGATCAGAAGCTTTAATTTTACAGCTTTTATAGAAGATACAGCCAATGATGGTGTCAAGTGTGATGACGATGGAGTATAAATATGCTATCAACAATCCTTCGAACACCATTAAAGGACTGGGATTACTTGTTCCTGAGTTGGAATAAGCACTTGCCAACCGGAATTGGAAAAGTGCTTCGATTCCAGCCAAAGTGATGTTGATGTAAAGCGCTAATGAAAGGGCTGTTGGAATTCTTCTTTTAATCATAACACATGCTTTGAGAATGGAAAGAAACCCACCTTGGGTTTCCATTCCAGAGAGCACTAGCGCCATGTTACATATGATCATCGTATTGGCTATAACTACGGAATACGCGATTCCTCCCACCATAGAAAATAATACGACCAAGGTGGAAGATGATAACATCTTTTCTAAACAGTTGAATGCGATGAAAAGAACCCAAAAAGAAGTGGCGTTTGCTGACATGATTAGAAAGGTGTTCCATAGTTGTGTTTGGAGGATGGAATTGTAGATTCCGGAGAAAGATGATGACTTTTTGTTGTGGGTGTTGAAGGATTGAATTATGAAAGTCTTTGTGAATAGGAGGAAAGAGAAGGTAAAGGGTAGGAGTAGTATTGCTGAGGTGATGGTTTGGGAGAGTTTGAGGTTGAAGGTGGAGAAGATTTGAGATGAAATCGGGATTCCGGTGGCATCAAAAAGGGACTGTAGTCGGAAATGGATTGTGTGTTGGAGGGAGATGAAATCAGGTGAAAGAGATGATAAGAGGAGGATTGATAGTGAGAAAGGAAGGGTTAACAAGGATGCAATTGTGAAGTGATTGTAGCTTTGGAGGAATGTGTGGATTGATGTTCTGATGATCTTGATCGAGGTTGTTCTCCCCATTGAAATTGAAGACAGCTTCGGAATTGGTGATTCCAGAGTATATACAGGTGGGGGTTTGTATTTGAAAGTGGGAGGTTTTTGTATTTAAATGGAACAAGGAAGTCGCTACTCAATACATCATGACATATCATTTAGTTGAGAATTTATGGTATAAAATGTAGATGAAAAGTATTCTAGCTACGATTACTTGTTTTTGCATTCATTATATCCAAGAAATGGTTTTTTTTTTTATTTATCTATATTAAGTTATGATTAAATATATAATAACTCAAATCAAATCTTTTATCTGACTTTTCAAGAATAAGATGAAATATTAAATTTTGTTGTATATAGTTTGCTAGTGTTTGGTGAAATAGAGGCCAACAACTCAAGTCTTTTTGGTGCTTAGTTTCTACCAAAAAGCTTTGTGATCATCCCTA